CTCTGGGTTCACAAGCTCGCTGTGCAGCTCTTGAGCTACTACCGCTGACTCTCATCTCACATCGTTCTGACAGTAGAGTGGCACTTATCTGACACAGTATTTAATTCATTCTTATAGCCCCAGAGAGTGAGAGACTGCAGGAAAAGTGGCTTTTGTGACATAGGTCCCTTTATAGAAGTTCATGTACACAATTATCCTCAAAATTGTCTCTGTAAATCACCACCTGCTCCTTTGTCAGTCCCCGCAGCTACAGGACCATGACTGCCGCTGCTGCTCTCCGTGCCTCCACCCCATTTCTCTTCCTTTGCCCCATCCTTCGACGCCTCCCTCCCTCCTTCTCTCTCTTGCATTCTCTTTGCCTGCTCCCTTGTCTCCCAGCGGGAGACAGAGAAGAGACTGCAGCAACCAGAAGAGCCAGAGAGAATATGGAGATCACAGAAAGGGGGGGTAAGAGAGAAAGCAGAGGAGGGAACAAAGGTGTGTGTGTGAGGAGGGTTGACATATAATGTAAAGACCTGCAGCAGCGAACGGCAGAAGGAAGGAAAGTGCTTTGTGTTCATACCCTGGCAAACACACTGGGGGTTTGTACTGTAAGTACTGAGGGTAAACAGTGAGTGTAGAGAAGTAATGATAGCACTAGAGTTTGTACAGCCAAGTAGATTTAAGACATAGTGGGGAGGAGAGAGGTCGGGAGGGAAGCTGGGCGGTGTTGTTTGCCTGGTGGCATGTATTTTGACTCTACTCATGTCAAGGTCCAGGGTGGCCGGCCCCACCCCAGTGTGGACTCAGAATGACAGTTTGATTAACTGCTGAGCACCTCGACACCCCGAGCTCTCACAAACACACCTTCCACCCCCCGAGCATGTAGTCAGACAAACAGAACAACGTGGACCTCAGAGTCTCATTTTCTCCTCAGCCTCCACAGATCAGAGAGGTCATAATGTTGCTTCTTTCCCTCCCTGTTCAAATTAAGAATTAATAGATTTTCTGTGATTTGTGATCTCAATAATTGCGATCCACAAGCTCAGTGTAGTTTCTTTACCCATTTATTTCTTTATTGAGATTTCACATGAGTAAGACCAGAGATAGATGGATAACAGTTCATTTGAATATACCACACGTGCATTTTAAAGAGCTGTATTACATCATGCTGTGACCACAACTGCAGATTGTTTCTTTCTGTACACTATAATTGATAACTATTTATCTTTGATAACCACCATACTGTTGTATATACTGTATCATAGTATACATATTGTAGCACAATCCAAAAGTTGCACATATTTATACATCTTTTTACACACAATTTTTATTGTAATTTTTCCTATTTATATATTTCTATTTTTGTTTTGCTACTGTAATGAAACCCAATTTTCCCTCAGGGATCAATAAAGTAGTTCTAATTCTGATTCCCAGTTCCCCAGACTCCCAATCAGAGGATTGCAGGGTTAGTGCTCTCACTTACCCTGCAGACACTTTCTCTTCCCAATATCTACAGATTCATCAACATGCAAATCAATCAAAATATACATAAAGCCCTATAAGTCTGCAGTGCCTGTACTGTATACACTGAACAATTTATTATGGGCTTTATTATTCCCAGCACATCTATTCAAGTTCAGACATTTCTGCATCTAGACCCTGGAAAAAGTGTAAAACAGAGAAAGAAAGAAATTCTAAGGAAATAAATATATAAAACAAACAAAACACACTAATAATAAAATAGACAAGGATGTCTTTCATTGTTATATATAAATATATTAAACATTTAAAAAATATCTACCTCTGTTTTGAATGCTAAATGTGGTGGCTTTCAGGAAAAATACTGCATGTAATTCTGCATGGCACACACTGCATGCCAAAAGGGGCCATCCTAGCTGGCTTGCTAAAATGACGAGATATGATATGATGTAAAGTGGCATCTATTAAATTTCTGTGCTTGTCGCTGCCATTTTCATTTATCTTTTAACCTTTCAATGCTTCACTGGCCCCCCTGATTGAAATTGAGGTCCTTTTCTCATTCGGAGGAACTGTCAAAGTTGAAAAAACCGCCATCTTCTGATTACTCCCATTCACATTAGCTCCCAGCGATCAAGCAACTAATACACTGTAGTGTTTAATAGCCTGCGATGGAAATTCATGACTTCACTTTGCTACGGAGACTGACATTTGTTAACTGAGAATGTTTCCGTAATTGCGTCCCTTTTTGTTTTACTGTGGCGCAGCTGACGGGTCTGACTTCCAAAGTGTGTCCATAAATTTAATCTGCACGCCGTCAGGGTGTTAACCAAAGTCCCCATCAGCTCACCATTCACTGGTTCTCAGATGTGTCTCAATAACGTCATTGAAATCACTTTGCAAGAGACAGATTCACACTCACAAAATGCTGATTGAACCATCTGTGATTATTAGAATGTTGCACTGTATTTCCATTTAAAGAAACAGTCCTAGGCTGCCTGAACTTGTGCTTCGGAGAGAAAGGTGAGGTATTTTTATAAATAGAAAGGTTCTGCTGTGGGAGTATAAACTTTGGAAAATGAGTGTTTTTATTTATTTATATAAATAAACATGTTTATAAAGAAAACTGCTTTTTTTAAATGGGATTTATGTTTTAATTTCCCTGTAATACCTCGACCAAGGAGGTTGTGTTTTCACCTTTTTTGTTTGTTGGTTGGTTTTTTTGTCAGCTGGATTATGTAAAAACAACTGAATGGAATTGCACAAAACATTGTGGGAGGATGAAGCAAGGGCCAATAAACAACTCATTAAATCATGGCAAAGGGGCCGATCCAGGAATTTTTTATAACTTTCTTTAACATAACGTGATTGCGAGACGATAGCTGCGTCCCAGTTCAGGGGCCCACTCTTACTGCCTCTGCCTAGCAATAGAACTGTAGTTTGACAGGAAAGTTTGAATGCCCCTTGGTTTTTTTAACATACATTTGCTGCTCTGGTGAGTTGAAGCATGATATTTAAGCATCTGAAGTCTCATCGCTTGCCGGCGCCATTACATCTCCGAAAAGCGGTTTGTCATCAAAGCACAATTAATAGGGATAGGTTGAACCGAGAAAGATCCACGGACGCATTTGTCGACAGCATTTGAAGGAGCCTTTGAAATGGGACAATCTAGTTGCGCTGCTGCAACACAATCTTTCTTCAGATGCAGCCTCTGAGAGACGCGGTCACTGAGTTTAGACACAGCTATTTTCACCAATCCTAATTATTTGTGGAAATCAGGCATATTTGGGGACTTATATCTATGAGTATGTGCAATTTTGTTGCGTATCCAAATAAGAAGCAGGATGTAGTGGATTGAAATGTGGTAGTTTAGTGTTGTTTCCTTGGCTTAGCTATAAGGCACGATTGAGTTTAAAGGGACTGTTGGGCCTTGACTGAGGTATGTACTCTGCATTCCAGTCCAGTTTTGATTCATGATGTATTTTAAGATCTAGTCAATCAAACAGGATATTTGTCTACGTCTAAGATTCTAAGATTTAAAGATATAACACCATAACAAATACTCCTGTTTGCTCACATAATGGGTTCATTAGTGAAACTCTTAAACTGCAGTTTCACATCAGCGTGCATTTGTTATTGTGTTGTTGTTAAAGTTGCTGTGGGATTGTGTTTCCCTGTCAAGCGGGTGCATCATTATCCCTTCATCCAGACGGATTAGCTCGTTCCATAGAGCCTCTCCTCTCCTCTCCTCTCCTCTCCTCTCCTCTCCTCTCTGTCTTGATGAGTTGGCCGGGGAGGCGGTGTTGAAACAAATGCTGTTAAATGCCAGAAGTGTCAGGCTCCATCTCAGGTGAATTCTAATGCACCACCCACAGCGTTTTCAAATATAAATTACAAATAATCTATGTTCACACCACAATGTTTACGCTTAAAATGCAGTCACTCTGTTGATTTGCGTTGGATCTTCTGTCACGTTAATTTGTCTTGTCCTCTCACTTTCGTCCTCGCCGTGTTCACAGACGTCTTCACTTTCTATGCGTGTCATCAAACTGCACTGAATCAAGGACATACTGGCACAAGCCTTGAATATGGGAAGCTGGGATCTCACTCAACCGTCATCATGTGCCAAAGAGAAGCCATTCCCCATGACACCCTCACTTGTTAACACATGAGTAATCACCAGAGTAAAAGACTTGATTGTCCTCAGAAGGGACATAATGGTATATGCTACAGTGTACTGTCGTGGAGGGAGAATGAAACGTCTAAGTAAGCAGGCTGTGTCCTGTTTGAACCCATCTGATCTCATCTTCTATTCCTTGTTGTGTTAGTTATTGTGTCATGTACTATCTTTGTGTGCTATCATTTAGACTGTGGTTGGTTAAAATAGAGTCTGCAGTTTAGTATTCCCTCGAATGCAGGATGTAGCGAGCCCTTTGTGTAGCTGGGCAGAAAATCAAAGATGTGAGAATCAGGCTGGTTGATTCATGTGGAGCATGTTTACCTTTAATGCAGAAGGCTGGAGTTTCCGCCCTGTCAGTGACCTGCAAGAAGTGTCCACCTCACTTTAATGCATTGCATAATTACACTGAACTTCATCATACCATGCACAGATACTGTAGAAGACAAGAACTGGAAAAGCATTGCCATCGCACATCCACTTCCAACATATGCTAAGATACACAACCAATAAATTATAATTACAACTTTTTATATGATAACATTGTGCACACCAGGTTAATTGCTGAGACAAGAAAACACTGCATATCACTAAATCATCTGAGTGGGCAGAGTAATCTGATGGGGTTTAAACTAACCTCCAGGAATGGCTCGTTTAATCTGCCAGGGGCCAAGGGGTCAAAACTTACTTCACACGAGCAGGGAAATGTGGAGAGTTTTTCTATGCTGCTGAACTACCTGGTCTTATATGTATGATTTTAGAAATATACAACATAACATAACATTGAAAGGATAAAGATCTTAAAAAGGAGCTTTTTAAAGACTGTACAGTCACTCACCTTCATGCCCTTATTATGTGAGGGTATTCGATGCTTTATTTTTGCAATTTCCAATCATGACATTCAAATGACATCAGGATAAAACAGAAAACATGAATGCAAAAATCACAACACAACTTCCAAAGTGACAACACAGCTAATAAGCCACAGCACGGCTGTGAAAGTGACACAGCAACAAAACAAATGCAAAAGCCACAACAAAACTACAGGTGCATGGAGCACCCAAACAGGAAGAACACAAACGTTTCTCCTGTTTGGTCGCTCCAAGCACCTGTACCGTAATACTTAAAATAGAAAAGCATTACATTTTAAGTGCTGATTGATTTATTCAGGTTTTCACGCCTCACTTGACCCATATATTCATGACTTGACTGCAGTAACTCATTGTCAACACTCTCTTTCTTTGTGGTTGTGTTTCAGTTTCTGGTGTGTGACTTTTGCAGTGGTGCTGCAACTTTTGCAGTTGTTTTGTGGCTTTTGGATTTGTCTTTTCCTTTAATGCACTTGTGTGAGACGTCTTGGCCACATTACATGTATGAATCAGCATTACATGTTGACCCTGGACCTATATGAGTTGTGCTCGGATGGATTATTACGGTTTGCTCAGATTTTCTTACAATTGGATGTTTTTCATAATCCATTTTTCCAACATGTCTGATTGTCTGCAGGCTGCTCATGTCTTTTGCCCCGTCAGACATTTTCATAGTGATGGCACCTTGTTCCAGGACACACGTTAACACACACTGTACCCAAAATGTAGGACGGAGAGTGAGAATCAGGCCTGCATGGCGAACAGCTTTTACTGTGGATTGGAACACCAAGTGATGATGACCAACCAAGCATGAACCTCCACTTAACCAACACCCCAAGAGAGAAAGATGGTGTTTATAAAACGCTTTGTCAATGGTGCATTCAAGCCTCTGTCGCTTGCAGCACACAGGTTTCCCTCCTCGCAGACAAACTGGGACACTGCCGGGTCAAAACCCCCATTAAATCTGAGTTAGGCTCTTCAGGAGATCAGGAGAGGCTTTAAAGACCCAGAGGCATCTTGGCCTTTTTTGTTTTCCACATAAAGTTTCACATCTCACGGTGAAATGCATCAGAGAGTTGACAGTCAGGAATGTCAGGCGTTTTGCCAGCACCTGAGTCACCATGGATGTGAGTCTTTCTCTTTTTAAACTTTTAATCTTAAGCATTTAAAATTCAACTGGTGGAAGAGTAATGAAAGAGACTGCAGTCACCACTTTCTACAGGAAAATGCAGAGTTCAATTGTTTAAGGGAGAATACAAATTAGGAGCCAGGGGGATTTGTGTGCGTGTGTCTGTGTGTCTGTGTGTGTGTGTGTGTGTGTGTGTCTGTGTGTGTGTGTGTGTGCGTGCGTGTACATGTTTTTGTTACCTCTTTAAGACATTTCCAGCATAAACACTGACCTTATCAGGGCCACTTGACCTCATGGAGACCAGAGCTCGATTCTAATAAGGCAAAAATCATTTCTAAGGTTCTATTAAAGGTTAGTGGTAAGATGTGAATCATGGTCTGCCCACAATGGGTGGAAGTCAATGCAAAGTTCAAACATTAGGGATTGTGGTTTGTGTGTGTGTTGGTGCCTCTTTACCTTTTTCAGCATAAACACTGATTTTTCAGGACCAGTTCACCTCATTGGCATCAAATGATGTGTCACAACTTCATTTCTTCTGTCCTGATGAGGGTGAGAGGTGAGATCTGTGATCAGGTTAGGGTTAGTCATGAATTGGTCAGGGTTAAGTTTGGGGATAAGGTTTTGGTTATAGGCTGTCCACAATTTATTGAAGTCAATGCAAAGTCCTAACAGGGATAGCTGCTCAAACCTGTGTGTGTTATTAGGAGCAAGGAGGTATTATGTGTGTGTGAGGAGGAGGAAGGGGAGGTTGAAATTGAAAGTAAGAAGGGATTTGGGGGGGCAGACAGGAGAAACATGTAATTACAACATGACTATATGATTTTCACTAAATCCACAGTCTCTGGGGCATTTCCTCCCATTTTCAGAGACTAACTGCTGCTAATTTAGATGAAATAATCCCCTGGACTGAAGTTGGTGCACAGTGGCGCACTAAATCATTCTGAAGAACTTCGCTTCCCCGCAGGACGACCTCGGGGAGTTCCGTGCGACTGACGGAATACTCCCCCATCACCGCCACAAGCTGCTGCTCAGAGCCCGACAGCACCGAGCAGAGCTGCGTGCGCTCCTCTCTCTGCCACACGCACACGAGCAGCAGCCATCTGAGAGCGCACAGGCGAGTCTCGGCACAGCCACCGTGGCCACAGCGGGACCCACTGTTGGAAGCGCGCACCTGCGGTCCTCCAAAATGTGCCAGTGTGACGCGTCTGGATCGAAACCGAGACCGGGCTCCCTCGCCGAAGCCGGGAAGCTCTTCCTGAAACACACCACCCTGCACGGCTTGAGGCACATCTTCCTCAGCGGCTCCTACCCCCGGAGGGTCGCGTGGCTGCTGGCGTTCCTCGCAGCCCTGGCTCTGCTGTTCACCTGGTCCTCGAACAGAGTGCGCTACCTGCTCTCCTCGCCCGTGTACACCAAAGCGCACATGGTGTACGCCAAGCGCCTCGTCTTCCCCGCTGTCACCATCTGCAACCAGAACCTGCTGCTGCCGCGGCGCATGAAGAAGACGGACATATTCAGCGCCGGGAGGTGGCTGGGACTCCTGGGGAGGAACTGGCAGGTGTCCCCCGCTGCGAGGGAGGCGCTCACTCCTCTGAGGGGCCACGGCGGAGGGAGCGCGGCGCTGGATGAGCCGTCCTGGTCCCCACTGTCTCGGATTCTGGACTTCAACCACTTTCTCCCTCCGCCCCGGGAGTCCCAGCCGTCCATGCGGCAGCTGCTGGACCGACTGGGGCACCAGCTGGAGGAGATGCTGCTGTACTGTCGGTACCAGGGAGAGCTGTGCGGGCCGCGTAATTTCAGCACCGTGAGTGTCGCACAAAGTTCCGCTCCTTTTGCTGTTTTAATGCGCCCCCACCCCCTCCCAACAGGTTGATGCAGCTTCAGAGATGGATGCAGCTTTTTCATGAGGCTGAGTCAGAAGGTGAACTGTTTGTAATTGCCTGTCAGTATCTTTTATGCGTCGCGTGGATAAATATCAAGTGGGTGTGTAATTAATTTGCTTTGAACCCATGCAGTCAGCAGGCTGTGCACACTGCGCATATCTGCACTGTTGCTTGGTTATGTGCCTCACCAGTTCAATTAACTCTCTCATAGCTCTTAAGCTGCAGCCACGTAAATGCAACAATTACATTCCTGCGTAGTCTCATGCTGTGCAGTGAGTGATTTGTCTTGTTAATTGTGTTCCAGCTGACAATATGGCTCCATAGTTGCTCTAATATTCCTGCAGTTTTCCTTAAACAACTGGCTTGACAACACTTGATGTGTTTGTATATTTTATTTAAATTTTTTGAATTTCATTTATCTCTATCTTCACATTTAATCCAGCTCTCTTTTACTCTCACTATTCACCCACAGACACTGTACATGTCCTGATTCAACATCAACCAATGTCAAAAGTTGACTCATTTTATTGGAGACTATTTTAAAACCCAGCAGGTTTCTGTTTTCCCCGTATCACCACTGGATCAATGTGTGTACAATCCTGTGCTCACAAATGACCAATTTGGCCCTAATGAAGACTTTTGATCCGTTTAGCAACGTTTTAAAATGCTCCCCGACACTGTGATGGAGAGCAGTCATGGCCGGGCTCGCTGGTAAACTGCAGCCACATTGATTGCCCATCATTGAATAGAGAAAAATGTGAAAACCATTGTTCCTCTCTCCCACCTCATTAACCAAATCTGTTTTCAGTTAAGTAGAATTTCTTGTCTTCTTTGAAATAGTTCGATATGTTTTGTTTAACCAAGTGTTACTTCTCATCTGAAACTTCTCGCCTTGGTGGTTGCTCTCGGCCTCGATGGCAGCAAAACACATCCCCAAATAATGCTTTAAAAAGCTGCGTCTCTTGTACTCACAAATTTAAATGCAACACGTCTGGAACCACAAAGCAAGTTATCACAGTCAAACACATTTCTTCTCACCAGCATCTTTAGGAACGCTCCGTGTTGTTTGTTATAGAGCATTTTAAAGGGTGACCAAGCAGAAGCAACCTGTTTTGGAGATAAACATTAAGCCAAAGTCTGAGTTTGGGGGATATGTAAGTGCATAAATAATCGATGCTTGGCCTCCGGGCGAGCAAGATGAGCTGGCGGCATGAGTCAGGCCAATAGAATCAGTCACACTTGAGACGTGAGGTGTGGAGGAGGAAGGCGAGCTTGTCCACGTACAATGGGCTTCGGGATCTATTGACTTTTGTGCAGGAACCCTACCATCTTGCCGCGATCTCTCGTGGAACTCGTAAATTTGGCCCCATCCCCTCGGCCTCATCAATCCCTCCTTCCCTCCTTGCAGCTGCTCAATCCCTCTTTATCTGTGTTCGAACAACACACATGCTTCATTCTGTCCTCACTTGCAGATTTCAAACATTGATTTTAGTTACAAAATCGACCCGAGAACACAGCCAGCCTCTGTCCCTCCCATGTACCTGACTGACTGACAGTTTACATTGTACTGGGGATCTAAATAGAGGTGCATGTTCTCTCTTTATCAACTGTCTGAAATATAAACATAATGGGGGCTCTTTTTATTTTATTGTAAATTTTATTGGCACTTTGAGAGAAATGCTAAAGCTATAAGGAACACTTCAAATGTAAATGGACTGCATTTCCATAGCTCTTCTCTAAGTTTTTACATTTAAAGCTCTTTACACTGAGTCACATTCATACAGTGATTATATATATGCAGCTCTTCTCTATCACTCAAACCTGTGGGTTCAGCGTCTTGCCCAAGGACACGTCAACATGTAGACTGGAGGAGCCTTGGACTGAACCATCAACCTCTCTGACTAAGTTTGGATCCACTCTACCTCCAAAAAGTCCTTGGTCTTTGCTCTTTATCTGCTCTAACCAGACACTCGGTTCAGGCACAGCCTCCTCCAGACTTTGCAGAGTAGAAGTTTGCAGGTTCTACTTTTCTGGCAAAACTCCACCAGCTCTCTATCTGCCAACTGCAGCATCATTAGTCCACAAGGCAGAGCAGACATTCACATTTTATTCAACAGGTGTGAGTCCTGTGTGCCCTCTTGTCTGGAGAAATTCTGCTCTCGACTCTCTTGCTCTCTCTCCACATGCACATTTAGCTCAGACCTGCTCTCTGATAACTACAGTCAGAGACATTTCAGGAAACAGTTTGACAAAATAACCCCCTGGAATAAATTCAGTTTCTAATGTAGGAAACCATCTCACCTCAAGATCCATGTTGTAGCATTTCACATCACATGGTCCTCAGCTGGAGCAGTTCATATGGAGCTGCAGATGCAGAAACATTGTTTTATTGTGAGCAACCATCGGATTTATCATCTAAGTTGACTTAATAGTTGAAGTTCATGAGAGAAAACAGAAGCTGATGAAACGACCTGACCTCAAAATTCTCAAAATATTGTTTCTGTTATTACAGATAGTTCTTTTGTAAGTATAGTAAATTTGGTTTTATTAGTTGTTGGATAAAAACAACACAGACTGACCTGGGATTGGTCAAGCATGTGTATCGACAGGACCTCGCCACGGTGGCTCAATCCCCTGATCGTTACGGCACATAGTGGAACTAATACACCCCAATATGGTGGCATTCATTTCTGGATAATGGGAGGAAGAGGAGATGTGTTGTTCATCTTTATACATATGTTCTATGTTCCCTTCCCATGGATGTAGCATTTGTGTATTGTTTCAGTTTTTGAACACTAGTTAATGACCTTTACTCCAGTAACAATATCAGCAAATCTGAGTTGCTTCACCGCCACGCTGGACCCTGACAATCTTTCATAGGTGGTGTTTTTGTATCTGTCATAACACATTGCACCTTGGTGCTCAGCAACAATCTTGAAATCAATGGCGAGGAGAAAAAGTGGTTCTTTGGGGAACTTTAGGGAACAGCTTGTGCATCCTCGTCACATTGTCATGTGAAGGATAGCCGAGGGCCATCTCAACAGTCTCGGCCTGTCTGTCTGTGAATTATTTATCGAAAGAGAGACAGTGACATTTCCACACCCTGCTAGAACGACAGAGGGTGATGTCTCTCTCAGTGTTTTTCCTCACACAGGTCGGGGCGATTTAAATATTACATTTCTGTGTTTACAACTTAAAGAGATATTGTGCCTCTCTTTTTTAGATGCAACGTGAAGGGCTTAGTGTTCAGCGGAGCAAGAACCAACAGCAATATAGGATTTACTTCCTCGGGAAAAGCTGCTTAAGATACACAAATATTTGTTCACCCTAAATGCTTAATGTACTCGAACTAAAAGGTTAACAGCAACAGATTACTAATGTTTACCATCACGGTGTAGAGCTATTCTAAACTGCCCTCATGCCTTTATCCTGCCCAGAATGAATTTGTTTTTCTTGCAACATTGAGAAAGGGTTTTGTGTTTGGTGATAATAGGCTTTCTGCTTCAGGTAAAAGGTTTTCTCTTTTCCAAAATAATACAAAGCTGCAGAAACACTGTCAGCAACACAGGATAAGAGAGACCGTTTGATAGAAAGACAAGAAGAAGCGTGTTAAGAGTAAACGTTAACCTCAGAGCTACAGAACACAGTGAAGATCCTGACTCCCCAAGGTCACCACGGGCACCCACCGCTGCTGCTCTTCACTCAATGCAGCCAGCACAATCTCCTGGTTACCACAGCAACTCTGACTATACAAGCCTCCTGTAGTCCGTCACCACATTATCAACACATACACGCAGATGGCAAGCAGGGGTGTCCGTACACCTCCATGCAAACACTGTACACACAGACACACACTCACCCATCTTCATGCCTGCTTATTCACATTGTTGTGATGTGTATGTGTATGCACACATGGGAACATGATAAACACACACTCACAAACGATTTTATCCTGGTTGTCTCGATCTGCCAAGTGCTTTTCTCTTCTCAGTGTGAGCAGCAATCTTTCTCTAAATGTTCTAACTTGTCTCCTGGAGATTCTGTCTTTGTGAGCTGTAAATGGTTAAAACCTCGAAAAGACATCGTCCGAACAAGTAAATTAGTTGTAGATTTTTAAATAAAACATGACTTGTTTGGCTGTTGTAGGATTTAATGGGGGGGGAAATCCAGCTTACAACAGTCGAAGACATAAAAAGCAGCAGACATTTCCTTCCTGCAGGCTTTTCCCATTGTAGCTGATGCAGGTGTCCTTCTGATTTCATAAGATTTCCCTGCATTTATATTCCAAAGAATAATGATATACAGTGGTCTGATTATGGCGAGAGACGACTCAGGGACAAAGATGGATTTCAGGGACATTTTATCGACGTTTGCAGTCTGCTCTGGAGTCACTGCACATAGGATGGCGTTGCAGCCACTGCTTTTGACTCAGTTTTTCCATTTACGCACTTGAAAGGTCACATCTCATATTGTGTCGACTATCAGACCGCTTTTTATTACATTTCACCACTTTGCGTCTTAAAAGCTCCTATATAACCACAGCATGGGAGGCAATCCATCGTGGCTCACGCTCCATTCTTTCCCCACACACTCACTGTCCGGGTATCACGTTATCCTAACTTTTTTATTGTGAGACATGGCTGCAATTCTTCTCTCCGCTCCGTGCATCTGGTGTCTGTGACATCTGAGTAATTTGTCACGGATGGCTAACGTCTGATTCATAAGTCGCCAGTGTAATAAACGCCTCCCTGTGTGTTCCCAAGAACCTCACACAGCACATTCTTATGATAGGAAGGTGCCACTTTTTTAAACTGCCTCAGCAGAAAAACAATCCACTTGTGTCGTAATGTGGTTATTTTTACTGCCATGTAATACTGGAGCCTTGTCTCCTTTGTATGTTGTGATTGCAGACAAAGAGTAAAAGACTTGTTCTTTCTACACAAACCCCCCCTGGTTTCTTTTTACCATTTCTTCTTATGAATGCCAGTATGTTGAAGGTTAATGGTGAGTTGATTTGGAGCTAGGTTGTTGTGATACAGGGCCCGCAATTGTGAAGCGAGACAAGCAGGGGTAGTAGGGGAATGTTTTATTTTGGATCCCGCCCATGCTTTTCCATCCCCTAATGTCTGATGATTTGATTATGCATCCATTAGTTCACTGGCAATCATGTCTTTCCCAATAGGTCACAGATCCCTGCTGCGCTCCTCAGCATCCCTCCAGCACGTCCTGTTATACAATGTGCGCCGTCCTGTTTGCATCGGTGGTTGTGTGTCACAGAGATAAAAGTGGAACTGGAGCACGTTGAGCTAATTCAATCGGATGCTTTGAATCCATTTGGAAAAGAGAAAGCCAGATGATGATATGATTAAAGCTGAAACAGTGGATTTTAAGCACAAATGCCAAAGATTCACTGGATCCTGATTTGCAAAAATGAATATTTCCTCTTTTATTAGGTTTTCTATTATATCAAACTGAATATGTTTTGTATTGTGGACTGTTTTTGTATACACCATGTAAACTTTCTAACATTTTTGTGAACCACATAATCAATAAATCAAAAATAATCAGCAAATGAATCAATAGCAAAAAGAATCGTTGTCTGCAGCGTAAGATTTGATAATGATTAGAGCTGCAAATAAAGATTGCTTTGTCTTCAATTAACCTTGCTTATGGTTTTAATGATTTATCCTCAAAAAAATAATAATTTTCTGCCAGATCCGAAGTGTTTGAAAGGGGTGTTTAAAAAAGCAGCTGGAACCAGTGAATGTTTGTAATATTTATTGATCAAATGATTGAAGATGTTTAAATATCTGTCAAGTGCATAATTTATTCATTCAATAATTGTTTCAGCTCCAATAATGATTTTTATGAAACACGAGTCATTACTTTTCTTTAAAACATCAACAGTGAGTGTTTGAAATAGAACAGCAGTATGTTTTTGGGAGATTTTTTTATGCCAGTTGTCATTTTTGTTGTGTGCGAGATTGCTCAGGCAGAGGATATCCCAGTTCAGAGTAAAATTCATGTCAAGCTCACTCAAGCACAAAGTGTATCATGCAGCACCGAGAGTGGGGAGAGCTCTGTATATATCAACAGCATCTTAACAGTGTAAGTCCTCTGAGGGCTGTGGCTGTGGGTGCAGGTTACTGCGTGTGCTTTTTATTTGCTTCTGAAACAATCTCCAGCTCAGCACCTCCTTTATCTGCACTCCTCAAGGATTAAATACCTATAGCTGGAAGATGAAATTTCACTCCAGGGTCAGGGATGAGAGATAAAGGTCGAGATGTGTCCTAACCTTTCCTTTTCTCTTGTTTCTTCTGTGTTTTTTAGATTTTCACACGCTATGGAAAATGCTACACCTTTAACTCAGGCCAAGATGGACGACCCTTGATGGTGACGATGAAGGGAGGGATGGGAAATGGCCTGGAGCTGATGCTGGATATTCAGCAGGATGAATACTTGCCGGTGTGGGGAGAGACTGGTAAGCTCACCTGGAGGATACTTCATACAAAACATCCTCAGTTCTAAAGTAGCTAAAACCACATTATGTGCATGTTTTCCTAAAAGGCGTTGAGTCAAGTTAAAAAGAGAATTTTAAAAACAGTTTAATACCAAACTAGCAACTTATTTTCAGTGTCAGTGCTTTGAGGATTCTCAGGGGGAAGAAGTGATCACAGGGATTTCCTTCTTATCCCTCATATGGAGGCCTGACTCAGCTATACTGTACTCACTGCAAGTCCCTTTTGATGTAATTGTAAAAACATAAATCCATTTCACTGCAGTGAACGTATGCATACTTACGGCTAAATGAGATTTGTCCCAAATTTACACTAAGTTATGCACCTGAAGTTTTCACATTAGTCACAAGCAGAAGCAGGTTCAGTCTTTAATGCAGAGAGCTCAGTTCACAGTAAATCAGGCAAACAGAATCAAAAGTGCCAAATATGACAGACTTAAGACAAAAAACTCTCAAAGATAAAGGTCATACACGTAAGAACTGAATGTGGGATCGTTGTACTCTAAGTTAACAAGATGAACTGGCAAACACAAGAGGAACACACAGATACTGTGTCTCAATTCAGGGGTCGCATCCTTCTGTGGCTGCAATTGAAGACAGATTGTGTCACAGCCGACGTGACCAGGCTTTCATATTTTGAAGGCTCCAACAAATGCGGTGTCAGATTTGTCCTTCCATCCATGAGAAACGAAGGCTCTAGCGAGTCGATCCTCCCTGGGTCAACCTAGCCCAGCCTTTATGGTCTATGCAGCCCACGAAGGAGGCGTAGACAAGCCCCTTAAAGGCCCCTGAATTGAGGTGAATAAAAGCATGGCTTCGCGTGGAGCTCGCATATTTGTCACTGTGCCCTCAATACTAAAAGGAGCAGAGAACCATTTGGCCAATATAAAATCAGTGCAATCTGGATCCTCATCCATTCAGGGTCAACCCCTCATCAACACAGTGGCGTCTCAGTGGTGCTGCTCCAGGAGACCCTGAAAGTCAGATTCTAATGCTGCCGCGCCCGCTGCTGTGTGTTTGTATCCATATTTTATTCGCTCTGAGAAATATATGTAGAGTTCAGTGTGGTCACAGAAACCCTGCGCACGAGGCACAAAGCAGAAGACCGTGATCTGAATGTAATATTTAAATATAAAACTGCATCTTCTCTAAGTCTAAATGATTTAATAACTTTAAATGTTGGTTGTGTAAGTTTATTTAATAATAAAAGACATTTATAAGAGCAGAAATGGTAGAAAACTAAAATTCCCATCACTAAAATACTGTGATTTTGTCACATAGTTTTCTCTATTACCTTCACTGCCAAGGTTATGTTTTCAATTGTATCTGTTTGTGTATTTTTCAGCAAGATTATGTAAAAAATCCTGAACCAATTTGAACCAAACTTGGTGCAGGAATGATGCATGAGCCAGAGAAGAGCCCATTGAGTGTTGGTGCAGATCCGGTTAGAGAGCAGACCCACATTTGTTCCTCATTACACTTTTGCACATGTAAGCCTTAAAGGTCCAGTGTGTAAGATTAAGGTGAAAGGATCTATTGGCAGAAATTTAATGCAGAATAATCCTCATGATGTTTTCACTAGTTCGTGTCATCTAAATTGTATGAATTGTAGTTTTCTTTACTCCAGAAAAGGCTCTTTATATTCAAATACTTTATATTTACATCGAGTGGACCCTCTCTACGGAGGCCGCCATGTTTTTTACAGTAGTCCAGACTGGACAAACTAAACACCTTTTGAGTTTTTATGACAACTGAAGCTACCACAGTTTGGAAGGAGAGGGTGAGGTGAGGGGTGTTCAGCTGCAACATGCAATTTCAACACTAGATATCACTAAATTCTAAACACTGTACCTTTAACAAAGGTAGACAGTAAAGTATCTATTCTATTCTAACCTTGTGAGATAGGACATTTTATCCGAGTAAATCGTGAATGGGTTTTGATGTGAAAAAAGAAATCAGACATCAAGATGTTGATATCTATGAGTTTGGTACAGATGATCAGATTACCTCTTTTCTCTGTCGGGCTGTTTGGCCTTGACAGAGGTACACTCTCCACAGAGCGCTTTTTATATTCAACACAATTGTTGTTATTGTGGATCCCCAGGAAAAATATCAACCCACCAATTCCTTGAATATCTTATTTTGTTGTTTTAAAGACCCAACGCTTTTGTCATTAATTCCAAAATGAGACAGATTGGCCCTGATTAATCCCATTACAACAGCATTTATCACCTGTTTTTTAATCTGGCTGAATGCCCTGCAGTGCAAAATGCGCCAGACAAACATCTGGGGCCTCATTTATCAAAGCACACATCAAAAAAGTTTTAAGTGCACATTTCTGTGCGTCTGTCCTTAGGAAAAGGAAATTGATATTCATCAAACATGTACATGCACATCTTCACACATTGAACATGGAAGCATTTTACATGTTCTTCATCCATCTCCTAGTGCAAATTCATTTACATAATCAGATTAACAATCATCCAAAATCCTGTTAGTCTTAATGGAGGGTTACATGTTGTGGACAAAAGCAGCACATGAGAAAGAGCTGCATGAGATTTATGGATATGAGTCTTATATTTTGTCTTTTTCTGCATTGATACTGGTATTGTTTTTGTTGCTTTGTGTTTTGAAATATGTCTTTTATTTATAGCACTACTTTGTTGCCATAGAGTTAATTATTCTGAGCAAAACCTAAGAAATTGATAAATTAATCCTGTGGATACAAATGAGTGGACACAAGGTTTAAAGCTGGAGTAGTTTCCCATATAAATAACATTCAAGCCTTTGCCAGCAAGTTCACACAGTGAAGTATCAGTGCTGGATAAATCTCTGTATTTTAAATCTGGTGGCTTTGGAGGCGTTGCTGCGCTGATGGATCAGTATGATCTGTTTAACAAAGATTTGTTTGCAAGAGCTTAAGAAGGGAGCAACTGTAGTGAAGGAGCTAGAGAAGGTTTTATGGTAGAACCTATATGGTAGAAAAACTTTGGATTCATGTGCATTCAAGAATTTTTTTTACGACAGATAAAAAAGAACCTTGGAATTGGGAGGATGAATTACCGTTTCAAAAAGAAACAGATCCGACAGCGAAGATAATAGTCATAAGAACGTGTCGAAAGTGTTCAAGGTTGCAAAGGGCAGGAGTTTATCACAGCAAACATCAGGTGAGAGGCAAGTGACATGAGGGACAGAATCAAAGTGTCAAAATATTGACACCCACATTCTTGTGTTTGGACTGTGGGTGGAAACGGTTCACCCAGAGGAAACCCAGGCAGAGAGAACATACAGACTCCACACAGGAACAATACCGCCTGGCATGTTGGCTTAGAGATAACCACAGAGCCCCTCTGTCCTCCCTCAGTAAGGATCAAATAATCACAGACGAGCACAGGAGGCTGCAGTGAAAGTGTGATCCAAGAAAACGTGTGCGTTGGCGGCTGTGACAAGGTTATCATTTTCTTGTTAAAACCACTGCTGGTTATATTGACTACTCTGCCAAGAAAACATCTGTGTAATTGTTGCATACCTGGAATTATTTAACAACAAAGCACAGACAATGGAATAACTTGGCGGTACCTGAACATGCTCGAGCAGTGTCAAGTATGATCAAGTTTCCATTTCATTCCAAGTTTCTGGCCAAGTTACATTATAGCAATTGTATAAGGATGACAGATGGCCAAGAGCAAGAGCTGGGTTGCTACTTATGTATATGTGCTGCTCCGAGCCTTAAGCATTTGTCTTGGCAGCGTCAGAGAACGTCTTTGTTTCCAGTGTCAGAGGAGCAATTGAGCAATTGCTGAATTCCAGCAGCATTCCAGAGCCCTTTAATTGAAAATAGTGAGAAAGCCTGGCACTTGGAAGACGACACCAAGTGACAACCGGGGAGGAAAGGCAGCAGGAAACAGGCATCCCACTTTATCCCAGAGGCAATGCTCAGAGGGACTAAATCTTCTGAATCCTTCCCGCCATCGGCACAATAAGCAGAGCCAGGTATCTGCAAATGTGATAGAAATACTGTATGTGAGCGAGTACAGGTTTGAGCCACCATGTCATTGTGATGTTCCCCCATCTCAGTATCGAGAGGCCCATCTGCGTCATTTAAAATCTATACAACAGAGTGCTGCAGCAAAGGGAGCTGTCAGCTGTATTGATTTCCCTTTTATCATCGTCATCATTTATTTATTAATTTATCCATTCACTCTTGTTTCCCCTTGCAGTAAATAAGACTCCTCCGGGGGCACATATTAAGGAAGTCCATCTCCTTTATGCTTTCACTCTGTACCAGCTCACGTTAACTCCTGAAACACCACAGTGTGTTTGTCAACTCTGCAAGTTCATTGGTTTAAGTAATAAAAAGCAAAGAGCCCCTGTTAGCGGCTCTTTGTAGCTCAGCTAAGGCTACAACGCATGCATTTTCATAAGTTCTCATGGGTCATTGTTTCTCAGGCTTTGTTTTTATCTTGACAATGTGTGCATACAAATTGTCATCCCTGTTGTAAACGTCCAGACCTTTTCTTGTCAACAGACGAGACGTCGTTTGAAGCTGGGATCAAAGTTCAGATCCACACCCAGGAAGAGCCGCCGTTCATCGACCAGCTGGGCTTCGGAGTAGCACCCGGGTTTCAGACCTTTGTATCCTGTCAAGAACAAAGGGTACGTCTTTCGGGGGGGCAGAAAAGAACAGAAATAAAGAAAATACAATATTATATGTTGGCACAGGTTGTCAGCCAGAAACTGCAAGTTAACGTCTAGTGTTTGGCAATTCAAAGATATATTATGATTATGAATACAATCATTTCCCCGTCAGCTTTAATAATGAAAATCTTCATTTCTAAAGTTTTTCGCTGCTTTGATGTAACAAGGCTGATTTCAGCTGGAAGGCTGTTCCAGAATTTGGGGGCCTTGACAGCAAATGCACAAATGTATGCTGAAGCGTGGCGTGATTTAAATGTAATGATTAAAAGTTTTTAAAGAATGATGAAAGTCGTTCATAAAAACAGGACTGAACACTGACATTAAAATCCAAGTCCTAAATGTCTGGCTTAATGGAGGGTAGCAGCTTTTTTAATTTAGCATTAAATTCTGATGTGTTAAATGATCCAAAAATAATGTTGTGTGTCATTGACATATCAATGGGAGGAAATGATGTTACATATTATTCTGCCACGTTTTCTTTTGGCTCTGAGCAGAGTCCTGACAATCATCCGACTGTGCCATTTAAAAATTCACCCATCTTCTAATCTTCACAGTGGGGGTGGTGTATGTCAGCATGGGTTTTACCAATTAGGATTTATTTACTGTTCCGTTGTCTCAGCCTTCTTTAAATATTGTCTGCTTTAGAAAATCTTTCAATAAGCAAATTATGTTTCAGTGTCAAAGTCACTTTTCAAAGCTGCTATTTGGACATGGAGACATGGACATCCAGAATATGTCCAGAAAATTTTGCCTTTCAGGGTTGGAGCCCAAGTAGAGCAGCAGGAGGCAGGACATCACTTTCAATTCCACTGAAGAAATCACAGTTTTTGTTCACAGCACATCAACACGGGCATCGACCCTTATCGCCAAATGGTCTCAAATCTCTATGAGATTCATCCTGAGATATTTAGATTCTTCCAGTTTTGTTAGAAACACCCACTCGCTCGCTGTGAATTTTCTGGAAATGTTCCTGCTGTATTCTCACACAGGCTCAACTCTGACATTTCGCACTTCAGTGCATGTTTGAAAGCAGCTTATTTTTACATGGACACTTATAAAATCAAATTTCAAAACATCGCTTTGCCAACATGTTGGACGGTGTAGTCATTCAGTACGTCATCTGGGACAGTGGCCGTCATAATCATTGATGTATCCTGGAATCATTGGGAGTATTTTGGAGCTTTCAGCATCCTGTGTGAGCCAGGTGACCCTGCCAGGGATGATCAAGCCCTGGCTGGAGTCCCAGTAGCACTCACTCTCTGCTGCTCATTCCCCTTGATCCACAACCATCTGGAGGATCTCTCTGCTGAGCTCTGAGGCTCCTGATGGCTCTGCCCTCGTCTCCCCCTGTCACTCCCAGCAGACACACTGAGAGCTTTACTGGACTTTTCCTGAGCCCCTCGGTATCTCTGTCTTTTGAAATTTTAAACAGCGAGCACAAGCTGTTCGGTTTTGCATGCTTATCAGAAACTCTCTCATGTCATTTTACCAGTGTCGAGGCAAATATCACTCATTTCTGATGTTTTTAAAGCTCCAGTAAGTGATGTTTGAAGAGAATATTGAGTTTAATGAGTCTCTGTAATTTGAAAATGTGGCTAGTACTAAAAAGAATGAAAACACTATCACACAACTCTCTGCTCTGCTCACATTTTAACCTCTGGTGGCTGACTGTTATTAGTTTTTCTGCTTCACACAGGGACGGCATGATCATCAGAGTAACCTGGAGTAAATGTGAAATACTGTGATGCCTCTCTAAGCCACAAGGCTAAGTTCATAAAGAAATGTCTTTCTCTCTCTTACAATAATTTCCAATCAGTAAAGTGACACTTGTACTTTAAATATTTACATGTAATGTTATTTTATACTATACTTTTCTACCACATTTCTTAGGAAAATATGGTTCTATATTTGTCTGACACACATATCAAGGAACCACTCTTTAGTCTCAGATTTAACTTAAAAAGAAAAATACAAAGTTCTGTTAAAGATAGAACCAACTGTTTCCAACTTTTTTGGCTTGCGCACAGAAAAGCAGTGATTGTGTCCCCCGTTCACAGCTCAGAAGTCTGTGAGATTTATTTAAACTACTTTTTGAGGTCCAAAGTGGATTCAGGTTTTGTGTAATATATCACTAAAAAGCAAAGATTAAAGAAAAAACAAAAATACAAACAATTCAACCCAAAAACTGAACAAAGATTGTTTTTTGAGAATTTTATTTTTTCCTCCTTCCTAACCCATTCATCATGTCACTGGCCCTCACACTATTCTTCTGATTGGAGGGGCTAAGGCATGAAGGGTAGGAAGCACTGGACTTAAATATGCAACCAGTTTCAAGAATACCACCATTTACACATAGTTGCATCAGTATTAAACTCATGACTTCATTTATCTCTAACATGAGAAATCCTTCTGCAGATTTTCCATAAAGACTCATTATTCTTATCATATTTTAATGAACTTTACCATAAAAGAGTTTTTATTAAGTAAGATTTTGAATCCAGAACCTATTTGTGATGGATCATTTTACCAACGTTGTATTGATACTATTAGTTTTACTTGAATGTAGTGATTCCTTAATATGGATTTACCTGAGTGGGATTCACTGTATGTGCGTCAGACCGAGCTACAGATCACAGTAACACACTTGTCACTGGACCCGGTCACAGTCTCTGTTGGACTCCAGGGAATTGAAGCGTGCCTCCCCACATTGTAAGCGTTGCAATATCAGCACTATGCTGTGATTTCAAGGGCAAACACTTCTCCACTTTCAAGGATAAGAGGCTAAAAAACACTATTTTGGCTGCCAATCAATCCTGCGTTTCTCATCACCTGAGGCTCATCAATAACCTGGAAATGGAAGCAACAGCTACTATTTCTTTTTTTAATGTGATGGAGGTTGAAAAGACTGTTTTGATTGCTGGAAATCGAATGCTGAGCCTCCAGTGTTATACCACCAATCCCACAGTGCGAGAAAATGTTGGTGTTTGTGGGGCCCCTTGGGGACCTTGGCCCCATGTGCAGTTTGCTTAGTTACACACCTGGGGCTCTTAAAATTACTAAGAAACTTTCCCCTGTTAGTTTGTAGAACTCCGTCCTGCAAATTTTATTCTTTTAAAATGTGAATAATCCTGCAGGGCATGATGGCGATCCTGCAGCCAGACAAATCATATACTATGACCCCTGATATGCTCCAAACCATGCAAAATGAATAGAGGAGGGAAAAGGGATGAATTTGTGAGAGATCTCAGTCCTTCCACGTCCACACCACTTGTGAGTGTGTTCCAGTGTCGACGTGCTGCAGCAGGATTTTGCATGCTACCAATGTCGCCTCTGTAGGAGACTGTCCCTCTTTGTTTTTCTCTTTCTCGCAGGCTCCTTCACTTTTTCCGTCTCTAACATTCATTATAATTCCTGTAATACTGTTACTCTCTTTTTAATGTGATTCTCCACCTCTCTCTCTCGCTCCTCTCCTCGTTTTCTATATTTATTTATTTATTTCATTGGCTGGCAGGCTCATTCTTCATTAATGTAATGCAGTTTGGCCACATTTATTCTATTCTGTGCTTCAGCAGTCCTGTAGTGTTTCCTCCCAATTAACATATTAAGCAACAACTTCAAAATGTTTCCTCACCCAGCGCCTCTCCGTGCTCCTGTTCTGATGTCCACTGAGTCATGCTGTCTTTCTCCGTCTACCTTTTACCCTTTCCTTTTTGCGCTCCCTCGCTCAGTTAATGTAGGGGGCGACTTGAGGTCGCAGTCTTTCCATGATTTGTTTTCATCATCATGGTTGTTAAACAGCTAACAGCACACTAAAATGTCATTAAATCTCTCATGTCAGATTCACATTTTGTGCATGCAGAATTAAGCTTTTGCAGAAGTTTAATCAGAGGGAAGTAATGTCGCCACTTGGTGGTTTGGGCCGGCCGAGTTGGGCTTTAGAGAATGCAAAGAAATCGAAATTGCGACCTCTGAGCGCGAGAGATCCATTATCAAGTTATATGGTTCCACCAGTTTGTCCAATCCATGTGACGAGCTGAATAAATTCGTAAGTAGCAATTATTGATTAACACATTTTCCCAGCACTGATGGCTTTTATGTTTTATTTGACATTGGCAAATGTCCTTTATGTGAAAAACAGCAGAGGAATCATTAAAGTCTCCTGATTAGATTGGAGTTGGAGATATGTGGTGTTCTTGAGCACGCTGTACCGTACATCTGCATTCATGTGTATGAATACTGTATGTGCTTGTTGAACATTGCCGTGGGTTATTAGTAACCAAATCCAGTATTTGACGCACATGGCTGCCTCCTGCACTCCAGTACAAATTGTAAAACGCAGTTCCCTAAATGACAACAGTGGCCTTTAATTTATTGCCGTGTGAGCACTCAGTGATGCACTGTTTGGACTGATGAGATGAAAACACACAGGCTTTTTATTTTATATAGCTTCTTACTTCCTTTCATGCGGCAAATTTTGCCCTTCTGTTTTTTATTTCCAGTAAGACAGCTGAAATGTGAATGAATAGCTAATATTGTAAAATGATGCCTGCGTATCTTGCAACTTCAAGATTCACTGAGGTTTTGTTCAAAGTTCGAGGTACATTTATTTTTCAGAGTAAAAATAAGAGTCCGAAAATTAAATTTACAGGACGAAAGTACAAATATGAAAACATTCAATGAGTTCGTAAAAATTAAAACTGTATAGTGGCCTGATGGCTGCAAAATTCTTTGGTATAAAATCTGAAATGAACATCTGTCAAGTCTCCACCTCCTGCAGTTGTACAAAATTGAAGCTAAAATATTCTGGATACAGGTGCTGCCATTTAATGTTGTCAGTCTTTATAAATCGTCAGTGATCAAAACACAAGCAACATGGTACAGCGCTTTGCCCTGTAGAGAATCTGTTGAGAGTGAAACCTGAGAACACCACAGCCGATTCAGTTCCTGCATGAAGAGTGGGCTGCACAATGACAGCACCGAGTGAGACTAGGAATAGGAGAAGCGTAGGAGAGAAGCTCCCACAATAAGCACCACTGCACACATGTATTTACCATGGAGGAAGGATGAGATTCACTTTCTGTGCCAAGTACAGTAAATGTGTAATAAGTAGAGTAACAAGTTTATCTTCATATTGACAAAACGTCTGAGGTCAAATGGTTTTAACAGGGCACAGATAAGGTGTGTTTTATAATTAAAGTGGTTTTGCTCCTGTCTCTCTCTCAGCTGACGTACCTGCCTCCACCGTGGGGCGACTGCAAGGCCACGGCGATGGACTCTGACTTCTTCAGCAGTTACAGCATCACAGCCTGTCGCATCGACTGCGAGACCCGATACCTGGTGGAGAACTGCAACTGCAGGATGGTCCACATGCCCGGTAGGCCCCAGAGGAAGCATCTCATCTCTGGTTGTGTATATTTCTATATTTGTTTAAGATCCACATTGTCTGCAGTTGTGGCTGGAAGTCCTGTCATTTGAACAACTCTTGAGCTTTTTGTCAGCGACTGCAGATAATCAGATTCTTTCACACTCCAGCGAATCGGAAAACTCAACTATTTTCACTTCGTGTTTATGCTGTGATTGCAGCTGGAGCTCGCCGTCTACCCTCTGCATTTAATCACTGTGTGGTATCTGAGATGGCAAATTGAAAAGGGCTTTGGCTCAGAGGAAACATTTGGATTTAGCCTCCGTTAACCTTCACTCTCCTGTCCAATGAGTGTTAATGTCTCTATCCTCAATCAGTGGCACTTTGAGCAGCGTGTTGCATGTAGAGAGCCAGACAATCTGACTGTGTGATCATCAGGATTAGCTGCTACCTTACAATGATTGTGCAGTTGATTAATGCAGTGAAAATCCTGTGTAGATTATGCTGCGCTCCTATTCATCTCTCATATCTCCATGTCAGAACGAACCAAAACACAGAGCATCAATGCAGAGGCGAACTAATTCACTCAACATCAAGGACATCAAGGTCTTTTTCCTCCATGTTGGACAGGGATGGCTCAGAGAGACAGAAAGGGTGATGGACACTAATGAGAAGCAGTAAAAGTACAAAAAAAAATGAAATCAATTAAGAGATGAGATCAAGGATGTAACATCCAATCATGATAAGGAGAGTAATCACAGCGTGTGGCAGAATTCATTATAAGCACAGACCTCCTTGTCGTTTTTGCATCTTCTTACACTCGCTCCTTCTTTTTGTTCGGACTGTGAACACTGTCTCTTTTCTGCCTGTCCTCAGGAGATGCCCCGTACTGCACCCCGGAGCAGTACAAAGAGTGTGCAGATCCCGCCTTGGGTAAGGAGATAACCCAGCATGCTGCATGTGTGTGTGTGTGTGTCTGTGCTGTGTGTGTTCATTGTGCTGCCTATGGCCCCTTGCTCAGAGCCTCTGATCCAGGTTGATAACAGACAATATAACATGTTCAGCCCGATGGTGGCCGTTCTCAAATAGTCTCTGTCAGGCCTGGAACTGAGACTCTGCTTTTCAAACTCCCCTGTCTCTCCATGAGCTGATACATTTCAGGTTTTTTATGTGTGTTACCTGTTTTTCTTTTTCTTTGATTGACTTGTAATCTCATGACGCCGTCTGTTGTGTTGGCCTGTGGCTGCTGCTGCTGCTCGCTCCTCCTCTGTCGTCGCATGTCCTCTATCTTTTTGTGTTTCTTATAAGAGTCTCGGGCCTCAACTCTCAAAGTTTTCTTTGATGCCTCTCGCTCTGCTGGCATTTTGTTTGTCATCCTGGGGTGACAACAAATCTATATGTCCCTATGGCTGCTACCTTTCAATCTCTACTTCTCTCTCTTCCTCCCTGTCCACTTCGTTTAGACTTTCTTGTTGAGAGGGATAATGACTACTGCGTGTGCGAGACCCCGTGCAACTTGACTCGCTTCGGTAAAGAGATGTCCTTTGTCAAGATACCCAGCAAAGCCTCAGCCAAGTATCTTGCCAAGAAATTCAACAAGACAGAGCAGTACATAGCGTAAGTCACTGATTTTATGTCTTATTTGTCCTTTGACTGTCCTTTTTTTTATAACACTTCACTTTTTTATTCCATTTTCCACATAATCAACTTGGTGCTGTTCAGTACAACCAGTCTAGTATTGCTGGCTGCTAAGCTACTTCACATGAAGCAGTTTGAAGAATAAATGTCTGTCAGTGTTATATATATATCATTTTTTGGTTTGGGCAGGAATTCATTATTACCATTCATCAAATTTCACTGCAGTTTTTGTTTTTTAAAACGTGTCCAAATAAATTATTGCAATTGCAAACAGCAGAAGGCAAACTCATTGTATTTTACAGCAATTCTATTATTTTCATGGGACTTTTCATATATTTTCTGAATTTATTATGTACACCTGGCTAGAACTAATACAACACATCTGAAATGAATCCCTCCTCTAATGTTCAATTTTTATTGAAACTGTTTTATAGAGGGGATGAGTCAGACCTATGGCAGTTTTAGAGGATGTGGCTTGTGGTGCTGTTGAGTTGCGTTATCCAGAGATGAGATCTGTTATATCACCTCCCCATCACTGGACACAGTAATAGAAATGCCTGCAACCAGCTCCAGTCATCACAATAATCATACAGGTGAATCATCGCCCTGATGAAACAGTTTCCAAATGAACTGAACATGATGCCTGTCCCGAAGGTCAGATGTACTACAGGACTGTTGTACCAGGCTTTCTTGGTTGTAGTAAGTTGTACTTAGTAAATACAAATACTTTCCCTTCAGCCTCAATATGTAGCCCTACTTTATATTTGTGCCAGCTTCCTTTGTCTCCTTATAATTTTCTTTGTTGTTTCTCAATCTGTATTTCAAAAGAATAGAAAAAGGCAAGTTTCTTTGTACAGCACATTTCAACAAAAAGGCAATTTGAAGTGCTTTACATAGATTATAAAAGGCATCATGTCACATTGTAAAAGCAACAAAAGACAATACAAAAAAAGATGCTTTTAAAAAGAAATTCAAAAGAGTTACATATAATAGAATAAATGTCACAAGAAATAAAAGAGTGAAAATAACAGTGCAGTGTAAGAGATGAGTATTTATTTGATTCTAGAGGAAAACAACAGAGGTGTTAGCATTGATTTTAAAGAACTAAGAAGTGTAGCAGACCTGCAGTTCCCTACATGTGGAGCATAAAACCTGAATGCTGCTTCTTTATGTTTAGTTTTGACTCTGGGGACAGAAAGCAGACGTGCTGCAGACGACCTGAGAGGCCAGGATGGTTCATAATGTAGCAGGAGATCAGAAATTTATTTTGGCCCAAAACCATTCAGTGCTTTATAAACCAACAGCAGGATTTGGAAGGAAATTCTCTGACATGTTCACACATTTACAGAAAATCTGCTTTAAAGACTCCTCCCCTCCTAAAGCAAAGCTTAAGTATTTAATTATCATCCATCTAGAAGAATTTATATTAAATTAATGACATTTTATGAACGGTGCAGCTCTTAAATCATCACATAATGAACTAGAATGACTCTCCATAGAGCGTATACCTCTGCCAAGGCCCAACTGTCCCTTTACATTCAATCAAGCTGCAACAAATCACACACTCATAGATATCAGTCCCCTAAATATGCCCATACATTTTTTCATGGAGATTCATGTATTCCCTGTCTAGTCAGTGATAATGTTGAAAAACAAGGGATCTCACAATTCTAAAGAACCTGTGCCAACCTTTTCTTGTGACATGTCCCATCCCTCCACCTGTTAGTGGAAAACCATTCAGTAGTAGAATCAAACAAATGGACAAGAGGGAAAACATTACCTCCTCGGTGGATGGCCTACTTTTTATGTTGTTTCCAGACTCGATTGTAGAAAATTGTAAAACAGCAGTGAAATGAATTCAAGAGAATTTATAGGAGTGAAAGAGAACCATAGTTGACTTCTGCTGTCAGTCCCCTCCCCTCACTGAATCCCTGCTAAGCCACACAGTGGTAATCTGGTAATTCTCAGACGTGCTCCTGGTCTCGATCGGGATGCACTAAGGCTAAAACCTGATGTTTACCATCGTTTTAATCGGATTAAACCTCTTTATCACACAAACAGCTTCAGAGCCGCATTGTTGTTCTCTCAATACACAAGGTCGTGTCATCTATGTCAGTCACCAGCTAGACAAGAAGGAAAAGAGTTCACAAAGCCAAGTCAAATTTTCTATAAGATTGATCTCAAGTGTGTGTTTGCTCGAAGGCTGCACAGTAACTGCTGTAACCAGTTCACTCAACTCAAACCTGCAGTTTCTCATTGAGATAAGGAAATAGAAAATGCAGCTTCCAGTCAAAGATTAACTTAATCAGCCAAGCACTGAGTGTGTCTTTGCCAAATCTACTGAACAGCTCAAAGTAGTTCAGGGAAATGAGGAGACGATACAACAGTTGAATTGCTTGTGTTTTTTTCCTGGCATTGCACCACATGTATTCAGAGCGATGCACAAACCTTCCGCCTCTACCTTCTGAAGGTTTTCCCTGTGCACAGATGTGAGTTCATCCAGTCAATTTTTTTCTGATTGGCTATATTTCCAAGCGAGTGTTTACCGGTGTGAAACTGACGTCTGTGGCAGTGAACTGTCTTTTCCCCCGGGACCCACAACCACACAGCATGATGGGCTGTGGATAGAAGCTCTGATCAGATGTATTACAGGTTATTCACTCACAGTACGAACAGCTTACAGCAAGAAAACATCGTTCATACTGTAACATGACATCTCACATAGAAGGGCCTGTATGAATCATAAGAAACACTCAGGAATCATCAGTGATAACAACACACACTCAGAACCAGGACCACTTGTTCCCCAGGGGGTAACTCTTTGTTCCCATCGGGGTAAATAAAACATTTAAGGAGCTTTAAGTGAGAAGTCTAAAACATAGACTGTTTAAAAAGATGGATGACATGACAACTCCCCAAATAGCGAGGTCAAATCATCTATATCGTCCCCTGGTGGCTGGCTGCAGTACAGGTCATAAACCCAGCCTCCTCCATGTTAGTGGATGGAACCAAACTATAAAATCAAAGTACACGTTTCATTCTTTTTTTTTTCAAAGTAGTTTTTTCTCAGTTCGGTAGTTGTCATCACTGATGTTCAAGTGCTCATTTTCCAGTAAGTTTGGTTCCAATTCTTCATTTGATGCAATAAAAATGTTGAATAAATTCATGATTGACAGCTGAAACTGAGTCATGATTGGTTGAGTGTGTATATCTCTACAATTTGCATAAAGTGCTGGATGAATGTTTAAAATTCAGTCGATAAATAATTCAAATGTTTTTTACAAGATGTGAATAAATAGCTGAGCTATAGTGAAAAGCAGTTGAAACAGCTAAAAGTAAGAAAATATGTAGCATATGTAAAATAATAAATAAGTGTAATGAACTGATGAAATAATAAATACATGTAAATAGTTCCAATAGTTAACAGGATTAATGGTTGAAATCCCAAAACGATAATCAATAAACAGCTGAAAATAACACTGGGCCTTGTGTGATCTCCATCTCTGCATTATCGGATATAATTTGCATTTCATTTGGAGACTGACAGTTAATCATGATCAACTTGACTGAAATATAAGCAGTAGAACAGCGTACCAAGCACAAAAAAGAAAGTACAAAGTCAATTCAATGTCTTGATCTCAACTGCAGTGGGGTGTGGAGTCAGCCTCAGCCCTCAGAGGATATTCAGGAATCTAAATAACAGACTGCTGTGCCCTGGGACTTTAAACTAATCCAATCCTTTTTCCTTTCTGCTGAAGTCACAAGTTTAAACTTTAACATGGTAAATAATCAACAGCTCTCATCCTTTCCCTTGTATTCCTCAACGATCAGGCCCACCTCTGGGAAATTGGTAAGTGGCAGCAGGTTATTTGCTAAACCTGATGCGTCTCCTCAGCTGTTGTTGCAGAATCACCAGTCTTCCTCTTTCCCTTAGAACTCTGATAAAAAATAAAACCTGAGACATTAGATAATGTGACTAATGTCTTCCCGCTCTGTTTGCAGTGATAACATTCTGGTGCTGGATATCTACTTTGAAGCACTGAACTACGAGACCATTGAACAAAAGAAAGCCTATGAATTGGCTGGCCTTCTGGGTAAGAAACTGTCTGTCGAGTGTTTTCTTGGGGATAATTTGCAGTATGCAACGAGGCAGAGGCTTTTATTCAAGGTGACAGTCACACAAAGACTTGTGTCGTCATTGTGGCTTTTCATTTTAAAGCCTATGTACATTTTCATGAACTTTCCATTTAACTCCACTTCATATATCAGCAAATATCTGTACTTTCTACTCCAACATATTTACACTACATTGCTTTATATGTTCAGATAGATTTTTTTTCTGATCCATACGTGAACAGGTAACATGTGTTATTCATCCTTCCAGGTGACATTGGAGGTCAGATGGGTCTTTTCATCGGAGCCAGCATCCTCACCATCCTTGAACTCTTCGACTATCTTTATGAGGTAGAAGATCTCTAAAGCCTCTTGGATAAAAATGGAAATCTGTGGTATAGTCAAATGTTGTTACACAACAGCTGGAGCTGGACATTTGTCTTCCACACTTTGCATGATGGGAGCAGACACTGTTTGTTTCATGTTGTATTCGTCCAGTATTGGACTGACAGTTTTTTCACACCATTACGTGTTTTTGTGCACATGACTAACGCCGTCCTTCACAAGCCTGCACCTCATCTCTGTGACGTTCTCGCTTCTTAGCCGCGGCAACACTGAATACATTAACATTTTGGATGTATTATGTTTTAGATTAGTCAGGATGTCTCTGTCAGTTCTCGTTAGGGTTACCCTGGGTTGTGTGGTTCCTCTTTACTTTCTCTTTTACCAGAGACTTTTTTTGTGTCTGTTAATCCTTGATTTAAGCTGCGGGAGATGGACAGGATGAAAGGCAGCACTAGCTCATGTGCAGGAGAAACATGTTTACAGATGCTTAAAATTGATCTCATTTGAGTTTCAGCCTTCTCGATCCTTCAGTCTGGTTCTGTAATATGTAAAGTAGCAAAAGGGAGAGGGCATTTGAATGCTCTCCAAAATCACAAGGAAGTAGTGTGCCACTCAGAGAGTGCATGTCTCTGCCAGGGCTAATGCCCCATCTTACCATGTGAAGGAAAGTGGGGGGAAAAAATACTGGATCCGCCAGTTTATCCAGATCTGCTCTGAAGTTTACTGAGTTCTTCCTAGGGTCATTCCCCACCCCTGCACAAAATCTCTTGGAAATCAGTTTTTGCATAATCCTGCAGCCAGACGGATAAACAACTGCAGATGAAACTGGAATAACCCTCAGTAGAGCACATACCGCTGCCAAGGCCCAATAGTCTCCTTAAACGCACCAAAGTCCCCTGAATTTGACAATATTTTTTTCGTCATTAATTATTCCCTGGGAAGTTTGTGAAAATATGTAATGTAATATATGAAAATAAATTCCCGGAGCCAGGTTCTTCTATGACCCATATCACATCTTTCCATCAAGTTTCATGGAAATCTGTTCAGTTGTTTTTGCATAATCTTACGGCAAAAAACAACACTGAAACCACCAAAGACTCAAACAGAATAGAAAACATAACCTCGCTGGCAGAGGCAATAATGTGTTTTGATCCCAGAAGGTCAGTGATGTTTGTGCTTGCCTATTTTCAGGTGATCAAGTACAAGATGTGCCGCTGCGTGAAGAAGAAACACAAAGGCCACAACAACAATGACAGGGGAGCTGTGCTGAGCCTGGATGATGTGAAACGCCATGTCAGTAGGCAGCTGCTAAGTACTTTCACTGTGTCTCACTGACCTGCTCTGACAGGGGCACACTCTCGCCTTTGTCTTCACTGGTCTCCGCTGCAGCCGGAGTGAAGGAGGTGGTGATGGAGGGAAGGGAGAAGCAAACGAAAGAGTCGAGGGAGAGACGAAGGAATTCGGGAGGAGGAAAAGACCTAAGAGACATGAAAAGCGATAGAAAAGGCAATTGGGAGAGAGAGGAGTAGGAGAGTGGAAAGTGGCTTGAATTTAATCAAAGCTGGGGGACAGGAGCAGCAGGGACAGTCTGGAATTAGAGCTTTAGAAGGTGTGACAGCTCACTTATTTCCCAGTGTAAATGCAGCAAGATCACTTTAATTATAAGTCAGAGCCCGAGCACAGGAGGGCAACTCCTAATCTGAGCTGCTCTCATGACGTCCCATCCCTTACCTTCATTATTTCCATTATTTTTCTGTGTAGTTGTCATGAATTTGTTTCCTCTTGCTCGTGTTGCTCGTGTAATATGTTTTTCTGACTCAAATTAGTTCTGGATGTGATGCCACCTCCTCTGCGCTTTTTCCTTCCCTTTATCTCACCGCTTCCTCCTCTACTGATCATTTCTCTCGCCTGTCTTCCTCTGCCTCTGTCTTCCATCTTACCTCTGTGCGTTCTTTCGTTGTCAGGCTCCTTGCGAGAACCTGCGTACACCATCAACGTATCCTGGCAACATGCTACCTCATCACCCGGGCCAGAGTAACTTTGAAGACTTCACTTGCTGAGCAGACCCCGAGGTGGAGCATCAAAGTGCGTGTTATGCAACCAAAGCCAACCACACAACAAGAACTATCCATAACGGGGGAAGTGCGAGGAACTGATATACGAAGTCGAAACAGAGGCACTTTGTTTTCTTAGAAACAGAGGACAAATCAAAAACGTCGAAGAAACTTTCACCTGAGGCCAAGTGGAGGAGGATATCCCAAATATAAATCTGTCAGTTAACTCTTCTGTCTCTGTGTTTTCCTCTGGAATACTGCCGCAAAGGATGCTCATGGAGGAACCTTGCCAACATGGACCTCTCTTTCAAAAGACAAAAAAATGTAGAAAAATAAATGAATAAGGGAAAATGTACAGTTATCTCAGCATTATCAGATAAAAGAGCCCCCATGCCTTTATATCAACACAGCAGCACACGACAGTTTCACTTGACACTGGCCTGCTGGTGGGACAAACATCCATACTGCTTACTCCACTGTACATGTAGCAACATCTGTAACTGTTGCTCTCCATGAAACAGCAGCTGGACTTTGTGTAGTTTGTTTGCGAATGTATCTATGTTCACAGTGAGTGTAGTCAGGTGTGTGGGGCGGGGTACTTTCAGGGGGGTCGTGGCGGCAGTGGTAGTGGTAGAGTTTGCATCATCTACCATTTAAACCTGTACTGGTGAAGATTTCAGGTCTCATCATGTAAATGCATGCTTGTATTTGTCCAGTGCATGTTTTTTAATTTCTTTTTTTTATTTTGAACATACATATAATTACCGCGTTTGCCTCAATGATAGACATATGATACATCCCATGTATGTTTCCATGTGTGTGCGTGTGTGTGTGTGCCAACATCAGTACCTGAGCAGGTACAGTGAAACTCTGTTGATTTTGCAACTGGATGAGCTGCAGTTAATTTAATTTCTCATCATTTTTTCTTTTCATTTTCACATGTGCCAGATGAGTCTTCATCTAACTTCATTTCTTCTTATCTCGACTCCTGGATGAGGTGAGGTCGTTTGTTTTCTAGGAGAGCGGAAATTTTGTGGGGCTGTTAAATTTGATTTCTGTATCTGTGTTGTAGTTGCAAAAGTCTTATCAAAGCACAATATCGCCAGTATGTAGAGGTGACGTAAAAGAAAATGTACTATTCTTCTTGATATATTGTCATATTATTAATATCGTATTGATCCAACAGTTTTTCGGTTGTTTCTTTCTTTCATATAAAACATACTCAGTATTGCCTGATAATCCTGTCTCCATCCTCCAGGTAAAAGCCTGGTCTATTTAGTTATCGCAGCATAAATAAAATGTAAATATCATTTTTGGAAAATTGTTATTCTCATCAGTGAATTTCTTCTCTAAAGCCTTCGTTTAACTTTTTTTGGCAAAGCAATGTATTTTTCATCTCCACATACTGTGCTGATTTGTAATCATGAGTAGCCCTCAGAACATTTGACTGAGGATTCCACACTTGTTACTATCTCTGGTTCCTCCAATCAACTTGTTATCGAGTGTTTTGCTTCATACGACGTTTTCTCTGAATTTAATCAGCATTACATGAAGGGGTTTGAGGGCAGGAGGCTGGTATTAACTAGATATTGCTTATCTGCCTCACCCATTCATTTCTGCTGCAGTTTAACAGCTGCAAGCAACAACATTGGTATTTTCTGAGCCACATGCTCTGGAAATGTAATTAAACTTTTAGCTGCTGTACGACAACGGGATGGATGAAAAATGTCCCGCACAGCCGATACAAATTTTATCAAGATTGTCAATCAACCAGCAGCCGCATATTCTACTTCTTGTGTATGCTACTGTACATCTGGTGCTGCCAAGTGCTTCACTTCTATTGAAAAAGCAGCGTGGTGATGCATGACTCTGTTGGTATTAGAGTCCAGATGTTTGCCCTTAAACACGGTCGGCCTCCGAGATCCTGTGACCTCCTCAGTCAGCTGCACGTGAGTCCGCGGCTACCAGACATTAAGGGTTATTCTAGGATGAGGAGTTTACTTTTGCCTTATCATTTTTTCGTGGTGTCTTTGAATGGGAAACCAAACATCAACATTGTTCATCAAATGTGAGTGTGCATTCATTTTGTATTATTCAGAGGAGAAACCACAGCTGGTAACCACACATTAATATACAAGCGTTAAAGCTCCCAGGAACCAGCTCCAACATCTGATCCAAGACTTTCTTTGGGTGTTTGAAACAATTCATTATTTTCTGTTGTACCTGCCAAGAAGACAAATTAATCCAAAAAAAAATAAAAGTTGATGCTGTTCATTTCCTGCTGGCATTTGTGTCTTTGTCTTGGTGACAGCCTGCATCTCAGAAGATAACAGGCAGGGTCAGAATACAGGAGAGCTGCCTGCCAGTGACAGAAATCCTGCAGAAGATGCTTGTTGCATCCTGATAAGGCTCCACGGGCAAAGCAGGTGGGAGGAGAGTAGACGAACTGAAAATCTGGATTCACAAAGATTTCCACCAGGTAGTTGTTGCTGACAGATCCAGAAGTGAGAGGGTCAGTCCTCTGTGGGTGAGGTTAAACCATGTGCCCTCATTTCACCCTCTAATGCAAACTCCCTCCTCGTTGTCACCTTGTCTGCAGTCGATCTGTGGGCGGTATAGAGACGTGCTACTGTGATGAAATCTGTCCCAAACTGTTGTAAATGGTTGTAACACCCTCAGCTAATCACCCCAAGCAGCTGCATGTGATTTACTGGAGGGGTTATATTCATGCAGGGAACTTCTAATGTTTGTTGTTATATTTTAATGAGGGTTGTTTGGAAGATGTCTGTACCCACATCTGTCACTTTAATCAGCCCGTCTGCTGTCACCCATGTGCTCAGACTCAGGGTCTTTGTAGACCAGAGGTATGATTTCCTCCTAATCCTATTATCACATCGCATTATCAACATCCACGAGGATATTAAGCTCCTGTTGCACAATCCCTCAATATGCTACACAGTGTATATTATGATTTTCAGTCATTAAATAAACACAAACACAAACTTCATCCAGTTTGGGGTTTCGTGCAGCAGTTAACTTTATCCAGTACAAATGGTTTTCACAAAGAGTTTGTGTTTTTTTAATATGACTGTTCAGTATGTGATTATTTATGACCCAGTGTTAAAGCAGGCTTATGTTTCAGTTATAATTGTAACTGTCACATTATAATTGTGTATCCTATGTTCAAAACTACAAGCAGTGTTCCTTCTGCTCCACCACATTTACATGACAGCTTCAGTTACATTGCAGTTATGAATTATCTATTCAAAATCAGTTATCATAGATTAAGATACCCAGCAGGACATAAAGCGGTTGAAATGTACTTCATCTTTATCAGATGCAACACTGAAGGGAAGTACACACATTGCTTCATAGATAACTAGAATTGTGATCAGAGGAGCACATACCTCCATCAAGGTTATTATCTCACAATGTTTATTTCTACTACTTTTGCTCAAGTAAACTACTACTACTGAATACTTGTTCCTTCATTGCCCAACACTAGTATACAACACTACACTAACGCTGGGTAAAAATAATTTCAAACAACTCATTGCACATTGATCAGAGATGAATATGACTCAAAGTATGTTCCGTTTAGATGCAGTGCTTTTACATATATATATATATATATATATATATATATATATATATGTACACAATATAATACTGGATCTATAGGCCACAGTACAGAAATAAATATTTAAAGTAAGACTGACACTCCGGCTTGTCTCTGTGCTCTCTCTCCGCCTGCATGTCATGTGATTCACATGAGTGGTATAAATTTATCCTGTCAGATCTGTCAGTGCAATTAGGATGCTCAGTCGTTGTTATAGATAAGGCTGCGGCCCGGCTCCTCTGGGCTCCACTTTACATTCAGCTCGTTAAGAGGATTAATAATTATAGCCACGTCAAATTTCTCAGCACAGAAAGACGCTGTATGAGATTTGAGACTGGAGTCTGCCTGATTTGTCCTTTCATTTGTTTTAAGTGTGAACCCTGGCTCATTTGTTTAATATCAGGCCGACAAAGGACAAACCTAATCAGCTGTCATCGCACACACAAAGGATGTAGAATCCTCTCTGGAGATTTGAAGAACAATGCAGTGAATCAGATGCTCCAGATTCCTATAAATGAGGAATTTGCAACACCTTGTTCCAACGTACACAACGTATCCCCCTTCCTCCCTCATATGCACTTGCTCGATTGCAGACTGATCAAACACACACAGGCTACGCAAACAGATGGGATGCCGTGTTTGGTACTGTTGTAGCTTCACACTAATTGGAGGGAGAAGTGTAATGACATCAAAGTTTGGAAACAAGGAAGTGTTTGATTCTTTGGGTGACGTACACGACCCCAGCTGCTCACACACTCAAACAGAAACCAGCACACAGGCTCAGTATCATCTGTCACTGTCTCTCTAATGTAATAATGATGATGATATAGATTTGAAGGTCATTAAAAAGCGTTTCACTTTAAAAATCCATCCTGTCACAGAGGTGCAAATGAACAAGGTCGGAGTTAAATCACTCATGTATGAAGCACTGCTGTGGCGAGGGAAATGAAGAAAATATTGACATTTAGGGCATTTAGCAGATGCTTTTGTCCAAAGCAACTTACAATAAGTACATTTGTCACAAGAGAGAGAGAGAGAGAGAACTGAATTTGATTCGTGGATTTTGTTCTAACTTGTTCCAAATGTGGACATTCAGCAGCAGAGACCATGAAGGTTGATTTTTTATTTTTATGCTAATGGTATAGTTTCTGTCCACACCACAACTCTCTGATTACTCCTGTAATAACTGTGTATTTGTTCTGCACCTCTTATATTCATATCTATTTTAGTCATTTTCCTACCTTTATTTTTGCAAACAACTACGGCTGTTTTACAGGCTTGTCTCTCATTGGTCATCTTTATTATTTAGTCTCTTGTTCTTTGCTCTATGTACAATGCCCTTGACATGCTGCTGTAACACAATCATTTTCCAATTTGGGATCAATAAAGTACATCTGTCCATCTATCTATCTTTCTATCTATCGATTCATTTATCAGTTTATCTATCCATCCATCCATCTGTCTATCCATCTATCTATCTATCCATCTATCTATCTATTCATCTATCAGTTTATCTATCCACCTATCTATCTGTCTATCCATCTATCTATCTATCTATCTATCT